TTTTTGAAAAGTACAGGAAGTGTAGGTAACGAGAACAGACCCATTATAGCACGCTAAGACATAATCAAATATCAGTGAAGATACCTCTTGGTATAGATTTCTTGCGTAAAGACCAAGAAGAGCATTATTCAGCGCTTTGAGGCCTTTTCTAACAGCGAAGTCTTTCAAATTCTCCATTCCTTTGAACAGCTGATTTTCAAAGTATACTTGCAATTGCATATCGCGCGCATTATTGTTGTTTGTTAACGAGGAAATAAGAGCTGTCCAATTGATCTGCAATGATTTAAAAAAAATGTAACTGTCATGATTTAAAGCCTGTTAAAATTCCTTTAACTTACCACGTCGTTAGTAGTTTCCAGTGTTTCGAGAGTCATCATGTTGTATTTTTTTGATACGTACGCTTCTTTCACTTCGTCATCCGATGGGTATAACTATAGAAAAAATGGATAATTTCACATTTCTCTTAACCAGTTTTTTCATCATTATGTAAATATATAATTACCATTTTGAATAAGTTCCTGTGTATATTTTGTCTGATCTTCGGACATTATTTCATTCGTGTAATCCTCAGTTGTGGGACTGATCATTGTTGTATCATTGTCCATCATAGAATCAGCAATATTATGAGGGTTTGGAGTAGCAGTTGTTGTACTTGAATTTTGAATAAGTCCCTGTGTATATTTTGTCTGATCTTCGGACATTATTTCATTCGTGTAATCCTCAGTTGTGGGACTGATCATTGTTGTATCATTGTCCATCATAGAATCAGCAATATTATGAGGGTTTGGAGTAGCAGTTGTTGTACTTGAATTTTGAATAAGTCCCTGTGTATATTTTGTCTGATCTTCGGACATTATTTCATTCGTGTAATCCTCAGTTGTGGGACTGATCATTGTTGTATCATTGTCCATCATAGAATCAGCAATATTATGAGGGTTTGGAGTAGCAGTTGTTGTACTTGAATTTTGAATAAGTCCCTGTGTATATTTTGTCTGATCTTCGGACATTATTTCATTCGTGTAATCCTCAGTTGTGGGACTGATCATTGTTGTATCATTGTCCATCATAGAATCAGCAATATTATGAGGGTTTGGAGTAGCAGTTGTTGTACTTGAATTTTGAATAAGTCCCTGTGTATATTTTGTCTGATCTTCGGACATTATTTCATTCGTGTAATCCTCAGTTGTGGGACTGATCATTGTTGTATCATTGTCCATCATAGAATCAGCAATATTATGAGGGTTTGGAGTAGCAGTTGTTGTACTTGAATTTTGAATAAGTCCCTGTGTATATTTTGTCTGATCTTCGGACATTATTTCATTCGTGTAATCCTCAGTTGTGGGACTGATCATTGTTGTATCATTGTCCATCATAGAATCAGCAATATTATGAGGGTTTGGAGTAGCAGTTGTTGTACTTGAATTTTGAATAAGTCCCTGTGTATATTTTGTCTGATCTTCGGACATTATTTCATTCGTGTAATCCTCAGTTGTGGGACTGATCATTGTTGTATCATTGTCCATCATAGAATCAGCAATATTATGAGGGTTTGGAGTAGCAGTTGTTGTACTTGAATTTTGAATAAGTCCCTGTGTATATTTTGTCTGATCTTCGGACATTATTTCATTCGTGTAATCCTCAGTTGTGGGACTGATCATTGTTGTATCATTGTCCATCATAGAATCAGCAATATTATGAGGGTTTGGAGTAGCAGTTGTTGTACTTGAATTTTGAATAAGTCCCTGTGTATATTTTGTCTGATCTTCGGACATTATTTCATTCGTGTAATCCTCAGTTGTGGGACTGATCATTGTTGTATCATTGTCCATCATAGAATCAGCAATATTATGAGGGTTTGGAGTAGCAGTTGTTGTACTTGAATTTTGAATAAGTCCCTGTGTATATTTTGTCTGATCTTCGGACATTATTTCATTCGTGTAATCCTCAGTTGTGGGACTGATCATTGTTGTATCATTGTCCATCATAGAATCAGCAATATTATGAGGGTTTGGAGTAGCAGTTGTTGTACTTGAATTTTGAATAAGTCCCTGTGTATATTTTGTCTGATCTTCGGACATTATTTCATTCGTGTAATCCTCAGTTGTGGGACTGATCATTGTTGTATCATTGTCCATCATAGAATCAGCAATATTATGAGGGTTTGGAGTAGCAGTTGTTGTACTTGAATTTTGAATAAGTCCCTGTGTATATTTTGTCTGATCTTCGGACATTATTTCATTCGTGTAATCCTCAGTTGTGGGACTGATCATTGTTGTATCATTGTCCATCATAGAATCAGCAATATTATGAGGGTTTGGAGTAGCAGTTGTTGTACTTGAATTTTGAATAAGTCCCTGTGTATATTTTGTCTGATCTTCGGACATTATTTCATTCGTGTAATCCTCAGTTGTAGGACTGATCATTGTTGTATCATTGTCCATTATAGAATCATCAATGTTATGCGGGTTTGTAGTAGTAGTAGTTGTAACTAGACCTTGAATAACTGTCTGTGTATGTTTCGTCTGATCTTCAGACATTATTTTGTTCGTGTAATTCTCAATTGTTGAACTGATCATTGTTGTATCACTTTTAGTGATAGAATCAGTATTATCAGATTTTGGAGTAGTCGTTTGTTGAATTGGTTCAGTTAATTCTGGATCGGTATTTCTTTTCTGTGGATGTTCTGTGGGAGACACGTTCTTGTCATCTTTTTGTTTACCAAAATCTGGCTCAAACTCTGTAATAGTATTATTTCGATCTTCTTTTGTGGTTTCAAATTCGTTGCCCTCGTACTGCATGAAAAAAGTAATAACAAAAATCTTATCTGTTGCAGATCATATATAAGGTTTACACAAATCATATTCTAAACGTACCTTCAGTTTCTCAGAACGGTCATTATTATTTCGAGAATCAGTAATCGGTGCGGTTTTAGCCGGCCCCAACAGCCAGGTGCTCAGAATGATAATCATGCACAAGAAAAAAAATATCAAAAGAGCAATAATGCAGCTTCTGTAAGATTGATCTTGTTCTGCTACTTCGCCTTCTTTTCTAGAAGTCACCTGATAGGAACCACGAGCTGGCATCTTTATTTTTTTATATTATTTTTTAACACATCACTTTGTAGTAATTGAATAGTTTTTACTCTAAGGAATAGTTTTAGGGGTTTTATTGGTTTTATGTGTGTAGCGAAGTATCTCTTGAGCATTGGAAATTATAAAAGTAATATGGAAAATGAATAGATAAGACTATTTTCAACTTTCTTTATACTTTGGCGGCAATATTTATAACTACCGTGTCCAGTGTTAACATTTATTCACGGTTATATTGAAACGACAGTTAGACGTTCTTTTTCTCGACTGAGGTGATTCTCAGAAAGTTAACCAGCAAGTTGAAAAGTGCTGGATGTGGTTTTGATAACTACTCCTTTACTAATTAGTATTATCGCACAGTTGCAGGCTGTGATATAAAATCCTTAATAACGTTTCATTTCAAATGTCGCAGTTTCACTGCTCCTATTGATCTTTATCAAATTCTAAATATTATTAAATGATTTGGAGTTTTAGGAAATTTGGTACTCGGTCTCTGCAAAAGGAGCCCAAGAGCATATTTAAAAAAAAAAAGGTAGAAGCTTTAGTACATTACTGGAAATAATTGAAGAGAATAGAAGTTCAATACACGTTACTTACATGTTATAATTCATAATACAGTTATGATAGATATGTAAATTATTTATATAATCCAAAAATTATTATTAAGAGCCTATTAACGGTTGGGAATTGAAGCAACGTTGAACTGGGCCTAATTACTCTTTCCTTAATTTTTACTGAATAATCTAAGTAAAGTCATCTTGGTTAGTTTCCTTTATGGGATAAATTCTGATCATTCACGTTGTTATATGTATGTGTCTTGAAAACGTTTTATTGCTAATTAACTAACTCCAACGAAATATGCGGACATGATGAATGAAGAATTGCATTGTTTCAGTTTTACGATTATGATCTTTAAAATGGTTTTCCGTTTTGGAAATTTCATAAAATATCAAGGTTACATTTATTTTAAATGGAATATATTACTTTTTATTCCGGAGTTCATTCACGGATAGAATTATGGGTACAAGAGAGTTAAGGTATATGTAATCAATATCTAAAAATTTATGATTTATTACTACTTTTTAAAATATGTACATAACTATTTTTTAAAGAATCAAACGAAATTCTGGTCACTATTTTGTAAACAGGTTGTAGTAAGAGTGAAGATATTTTTGGCTATTATCATAAAAATCGGTTTATTCTTTTAAAGTCCTTCGAAAGTGATAATCTCGCAAAAATGGAACGTCGTACAGCTGGCAAGAACATAGATATGTTATCAGTTTGCAGAGTGAGAGCAACAGTTCATGATCATGAGTTATCAGTTGCAATCGAAACAGTACACAATTATTGATAGAAATTGACAGTAATCAAGAACATAGTGATTCCGGCAGCAAGTTGTATTCCAAATAATGTTAAATATTTCGATCACGTCTTATGAAATGTTTTTGCGTAGAATAATAATTGAAAATTCATGATTCCGAGGTTTCCTCCTTCACTTTTTTTATTTACAACAGTATCCTTCTCAGCAGTCATAATTGGGAACTTGCTAGATACAGTTCAAGCAATATTAATACTTGTCCATATTTTCTAATCCCCTGTCAAACAAGGAAATTGAAAAATGATGTTTCATAAAAAAATTTACAGTATCTCATAAAATTCGATGGAGAAACAAAATTTCAAGGAATTTTTCCTTGATTGGAATTATGCAACTTTTTCCTTAATTTCCTTTTTTTTTATATTATGTAAAAGTATCAGAACATCCAATTACGACACAGATCCTCATGCCTTCTATTTAATTTTTTAAGTAGGTAAATCAAGATATTAACTCAATTTCAAAGAACGTGTCTCGCGATACAGAAGCTGTGATGTCCTTAGGAAACAAGCGGATATGACAACACAAACAGTAATATGTCAAATGATATATTATTAAGTCGCTGAATACGGGTAAAAGGTGGCAAGTTCGCGGATAATTATTAGGATGTTAAGGAATGAGAGGTCCAACTTCTTGTGTTCCTTCCGCGTAACGTGGAGGAAATGTGCCTCAACGTTTTCTCCGCAAATCTTGTTGGCTTAAAATAAATCTAGAGTATCGTTATCAAATGATCTTTCGCGTCCACTCTTTTTATTAGATCATATAGAATGTTCAGTAATTAATAAGTTATGCACTTCATTCCATAAGTACCTCGGATTTTGCGTCATTCACTAACTTTGGAAAAACAGGACAAGTATCTGCTGGAACAACATTCGTGCCGGGCATACAGGACCAAGCATTGCCAAGAAGTGGTTCACTCGAGGCCGATACGAAAATTCGCATGCGGCTTGGTATGTGATAGTCCGGACTGTAGAAGGACGTCAACGGCAGTTTTGTACAATGTGTCTGATGAGTGGAGCGTAAAAAAGAAAAGAGAATTGGAAAAAATATTTACCAAAAAATCACTTACATGCTTAACGACAATTTTATTATTGCCCAGAATAAATGAGAGTTTCGAAATAATAAAAATAGATACCTGAGCAAATGCAAGGTAGAACAATTGTTTGACATTCATATTCAGCCATGGTAAAGGCACCTGATTGGCCCAACTTATTCGCGACAGTGTATCGTAAACCAATCGCAATCCCGTTATATCGGATAGTCGTTCGTTCAGCGATAGTTCAGAAATCTACGAATAAAGAATAAAATACTTTGGGAAGTGTGGGATGCAGTAAGTTTGAAAAGAATCGTAAATCAATGAGTACCTTGAACTTAGCCGTGTGGTTTAATGATCGGACCATCATGTTTATAGGATCTGGATAACTCGTATTATGACAACTAGTGTAAATGTCAAAAGTTATCACAGATGATCCATCCTCGTTAATTATCATATATTCCATATCGCGTTTGTTTCCGTCGTAATACATTCCTAAAACGTAACAATAGGTATTGTTATTAAAGTAAACACGTTCAGATGAGAGAACATCCATACTACAGTAGAAAATTCAATACAACAAAGTACTTGTAAACTGATTTTTTGTTTATAAATTCTATTCGTAGGCATTTTGAGTCTCTAAAATATGAGTCTATGACGATTTGTTGTTGGCGACGGGAAGCCTAGCAGTATGATTATATAATTTAGCTCTTTTAGTGTTAATCAGTGAATACTCGTAAAAGTAAAATAAATTATTGTTACCAGTTGAGTCGAAGTGATGAATAATCTCGTGAGCTATTACATTTCCAAGTGTTGCATAAAGTAAGTAATCGAACGATTTCAAAATTTCAGAATCTTTTGGCAGAATTGTCCAATCGATTACACCAAAAGGTATTATTACAGTATTTAGTCCATAAATAGTAACTGCTTGAGTCTGGAAAGGAACTGCAAAGTTCGTCCATCTGCAAATTATGAATATTGTATTATTTTTCAACATGAAATTCATCGCCGCTTTGATTATTATACATGGTCACTCATTTGACTGACATTGCCTGAGGGTCTCTAGGATTTTGGTACATGCGCTCATTGTACATCCTGCTCCTGTAGTTTTTCATTAATGATATGGTATTCTTGAAATAATTATCCGTTAGATTTGGCTATAAAGGAAATGCGATACTATTTAATGAACTTTTTCATAATTGCTCCTTATTTCAAAATTAATCTTAACCCGATGATATTGGACACTTACCCTGAGACCACGCGAATGTTCATAAAGTAATATATTGGGAATAATTACTGTCATCTGTTCGAGTTTCCTCAATAATTCTTCTTTGGCTGCATCGTTGAGCCACTCAGCGTCTTCGAAATTTAATTTTAATGTGAATTTCAGTTCGCGAAACATTTCGATTATCTATTGACAAGCGTAAGACATTTGTTAAACAAAATTCTCAGGTAGGGATGTTTAGTTTATTTAATGCCATTTCTACCGTTGTGTTCATTCGTTCAATTTCTTCTTTCGAAAACGATGACATGTATAAACTAGATGCTTCAAATTCCATGAGGCTGCTGGCTACGCGGAGACATTGACGTTTTGAGTGTCTGGGCTTCGGCGCGATTAACTACAAAATATGAAGCACATTGTATTTGTTCTAGTTACCTATACTTTTTGCACTTTCCAAAAAGTGCAAATTTTTACTGGATGATATTTTCAAGTAACCAATGAGAATCTGCACTTTTTGAAAAGTACAGGAAGTGTAGGTAACGAGAACAGACCCATTATAGAACGCTAAGACATAATCAAATATCAGTGAAGATACCTCTTGGTATAGATTTCTTGCGTAAAGACCAAGAAGAGCATTATTCAGCGCTTTGAGGCCTCTTCTAACAGCGAAGTCTTTCAAATTCTCCATTCCTTTGAACAGCTGATTTTCAAAGTATACTTGCAATTGCATATCGCGCGCATTATTGTTGTTTGTTAACGAGGAAATAAGAGCTGTCCAATTGATCTGCAACGATTTAAAAAAAATGTAACTGTCATGATTTAAAGCCTGTTAAAATTCCTTTAACTTACCACGTCGTTAGTAGTTTCCAGTGTTTCGAGAGTCATCATGTTGTATTTTTTTGATACGTACGCTTCTTTCACTTCGTCATCCGATGGGTATAACTATAGAAAAAATGGATAATTTCACATTTCTCTTAACCAGTTTTTTCATCATTATGTAAATATATAATTACCTTAAGGAAACCCTGTATTAATTCAATATCAATATCCTGCAGGATACTGTCAATAAATCGTGGTACACTATCTATGAACATGTCGGACACCATAATCGTTATTGATTCTTTGATGGAGTCTACAATAGGTTCTTTGCTCCTCTATAAAAATAAAAATTAAATTTTCATGGTCAAATTATTTCTATAAAATTTCATAATGTAAAATATCATTAAACTATTACCTTGCAATTTATATACATTTCGTACACATTATTTACATCAAAGTAGTCACCGTGCAATGTTTCTTTGAGTGGATTGCAAGGGTCATCCGGGTCTTCTAATACAAATGGACTCTTAGGAAATGGGGGTCCTACTTTAAGCGTAAAACGATTTGATGTGAATTCATCGACATCCGGTACAATATCGAACAGAAGTGCGCTTGAATAAAAATTGTTACAGCGTTAAGATCAGTCGAGCGTTCTATTCGATATATTTAAAAAAATTAATAAAAACCTGTTATGTATAAAAAGCTTTCTAAACAGATCAGTAATGTCTGGATCGTCATCATTCTGGTTTGCAGAAGTGTAAAACTTCCCGACGGACTTCAGAACATCTATGACTGTAAAGGAGATATTGAAAATTTGACAAAGTAATTCGATTAGTCAAACCTACTTAGAATTTTTCTTATTTACCCATTTTTGTTCTTTCGGATCTTTCTATTGCCTCGTCATACTTGATGCAACTGTCGTAATACTTAAGAAACAAACGAGACTCCATATTTTTGCCCTTACGCATCTCATCTAGAAATAGATAGCAGATTCACTTGTTATTTTTATATATTTACGATCAATCCTTATTTGTACTTATGAATACGTAACTTACTAAAGTACTTACTCTCAATTCGATGGTAAGCGCGATTTAGAAGACTTTTTTCAAAAATTTCAGAATCGTTTTCAAAACCGCCACAGGCGTATTCATAGAAATCATCACAGGCGTCTGCAGAGGGATTCATGTACAAGAACATTTTACTTGCCAATTTTTTGCACGAGAAAGTAGTACATTCACCGTTTTGCTTATCTTTATCAAATATATTATTGCTAACATTATTCCATATCGACTGCTTCGTAGATGTGGTTACCGGGACATTTGCATCACTGAAATCAATTATTGTTGCAGAACTGTTAAACCTGTTAGTGGTTTTTGAAATATCATTGTCGTTAGAGATTGTTGTAGATTGTTCCGTAAACCAATCTGATATGTTAGACTGCGTACTCTTGGTTTCTGTCACAACTGTCGGTTTTGCCGTTGTTGTTGTGCCTAAAGTGTAAGTTTTGTTTTCCTTCAATTCTCTTGAGCCTTCGAATTGATCTTCCGTATGATCCTTAGACATTATTTTGTTTGCGTGATCCTCAGTTGTGGGGCTGATCATTGTTGTGTCATTTTCAATCATAGAATCATCAGTTTTGTAAGGGTTTGGAGTAGTAGTTCTTGTAATTGAATTTTGAATAAGTTCCTGTGTATATTTAGTCTGATCTTCGGACATTATTTCATTCGTGTAATCCTCAGTTGTAGGACTGATCATTGTTGTATCATTATCCATCATAGAAACATCAATATTATGAGAGTTCCGAGTAGCAGTTATTGTACTTGAATTTTGAATAAGTTCCTGTGTATATTTTGTCTGATCTTCGGACATTATTTCATTCGTGTAATCCTCAGTTGTAGGACTGATCATTGTTGTATCATTGTCCATTATAGAATCATCAATGTTATGCGGGTTTGTAGTAGTAGTAGTTGTAACTAGACCTTGAATAACTGTCTGTGTATGTTTCGTCTGATCTTCAGACATTATTTTGTTCGTGTAATTCTCAATTGTTGAACTGATCATTGTTGTATTACTTTTAGTGATAGAATCAGTATTATCAGATTTTGGAGTAGTCGTTTGTTGAATTGGATCAGTTAATTCTGGATCGGTATTTCTTTTCTGTGGATGTTCTGTGGGAGACACGTTCTTGTCATCTTTTTGTTTACCAAAATCTGGCTCAAACTCTGTAATAGTATTATTTCGATCTTCCTTTGTGGTTTTAAATTCGTTGCCCTCGTACTGCATGAAAAAAGTAATAACAAAAATCTTATCTGTTGCAGATCATATATAAGGTTTACACAAATCATATTCTAAACGTACCTTCAGTTTCTCAGAACGGTCATTATTATTTCGAGAATCAGTAATCGGTGCGGTTTTAGCCGGCCCCAACAGCCAGGTGCTCAGAATGATAATCATGCACAAGAAAAAAAATATCAAAAGAGCAATAATGCAGCTTCTGTAAGATTGATCTTGTTCTGCTACTTCGCCTTCTTTTCTAGAAGTCACCTGATAGGAACCACGAGCTGGCATCTTTATTTTTTTATATTATTTTTTAACACATCACTTTGTAGTAATTGAATAGTTTTTACTCTAAGGAATAGTTTTAGGGGTTTTATCGGTTTTACGCGTGTAGTGAAGTATCTCTTGAACATAGGAAATTATTTAAATAATATGAGAAATGAAGAGATAACACTATTTTCAAGAGCGCTTTATACTTTCTTTATACTTTGGCAGCAATATTAATAACTACCGTGTCGAGTGTTAACATTTATTCGCGGTTGTATTAAAAAATCAGCTACGCGTTCTCATGATCGACTGAAGTGTGACGGAATGATAACTATTCCATCTTGAAAAGTATTGTCAGAAGTTTAACCGTGCAAATCGAAGAGTTCTGGATGTGGTTTTAAATCCCACTTCCTTCCTACTTAGTAATATCATACAGTTTCAAGCTGGAATATAAAATCTTGACTAACGTTAGATTCAGAATGTGGTTGTATGTTTGCCTTTATCAGTTTCTATAAAATTGTAAGTATTATTCAAAGATTTGGAGAATTTGGTACTAGAACTCTGTACACAAAAAAATAACTTTAGTAAATTATCTCAAACAATTGAAGAGAATGGAAACTTGATATAAGTTACTTATATATTTTGTATAATTTATAATACATTTATCACAGATATGTAAACTACAAAATATCGTAGACTATTGTAAAATGCAATTTCCACTTTACCCATGATAGTATTGCACGTGCCGAGAATAACTTGTTTTATGTTCTAAATCCTGTAGAAGATAAATAATCTTAATAAAAATGTGTTGATAAATTCTTAATCACAATTCACATTGTTCGAACGGTTGTCCACGTTGCGTTGTTTATCCTTACTCATTGCTGAAGATTTTAACGATACTTGAGTAACAGATTCTATCTCCTTTGTCACGGATGTACTTCGTATTTTTACAGAAGTTTCCTCTATATTTAACTGTAAAATAAAGTTACTGTGGTTTAGAGACGACCAGCACGGCAAAAGGATATCCTAAGAAGATAAAAGACGGCTACCTTTTTTTCTGACTCATTCATTTTTTTCTCGGCGGACTCCGTAAGAGATTTAGTCGATATTTGTCTCTTCGGTGTAGGTTTCCTTGATTTAAAGGTACCGGAAGCTTTTTTTGGTCTTTGAGAACTGCTATGCTTTTTTATCTCGAATGTTTGATCACAATTGTGAGTTAATAATTGTTCTTTAGTTTTGAATGCCTAGTCGGAAAGAAAATTGAAACATAATTAATGATTCAACATATTTAAAGAACTCACAAAAATATATATATTTAGTAATTAAGGAGACTTACGAGAGAGCAAATATCACATTTGACGCAATGCTTATTCAGCTCATGATGCTTGAGCGCCTGTGCTCTGTGAAAATTACGATTGCAATGGCTGCAACTGAAGCGTTTGATATTACTGTGCGTAAGAAGGTGCCTTTTAAGTTTGTCGGATCGTGAGAATTCACTCATGCATCCCAAATATCCTCTGAAGGGACATTTGAGTCTTTTGGTTAGATCGTGTATAAGCATATGACGTCCGAGTCGGTCTTTTCTTTTAAAACGTGCTGGACAGTTCTGTAACGTCAAAGTTCATCGAGAATAATAAGACCAAGGGTCAATTTCATAATCAATATCGCGTCTACATACCGGACACAGGAATGGTGTCTCTTCGCTATGAATAAGTTTATGGTTTGCCAAATACTGTTCTGTCTTAAAAGCTTTGCCACAATCTTCGCAAGCAAATCTGGCAGAAGTTGCATGAGTTTTTAGATGGCGACGTAGGAAACGTTCAATGAGAAAACTTTTGTCGCAATGCGGACAGGCATAATCATGAGTAGTAGTTTCTGTATGATGCTGCAGAGCTTCGAGATTCGAAAAAGATGATTTACAGATTGAACAGCAATAATATTTTTCAGTCGACTTCTGTTTTTGGACGGTGTGGCTTTTCTGGTGATGGCCTAGGTCTGATAATGTATTGAAGATTTCGGCGCAAATGTGACAACGGTACTCTGATCGTTTGTGACTTCTTGTGTGTTCCAAAAATTCCTCCAGTTCAGAGAACATCATGCTGCAGCTACTTTGTACACATTTATATACTTTTAGAGCTAGATGAGATACTATTAGATGGCCCTTAAGGTCCTTGTACGTGGAAAATATTTCTCTGCAGAATTGACAGTGGTACGTACGATCTATACTGCCATCGATTGGTGCCTGTAAAAACATTCATTCGTTTGCACGATTATTAGGAGTTGACACTGTAGTGGTGTATTTATTTATACCTCTGGTGGCAATGAACGTATGGCTGTACCAGGCCAGACTTTGTGCGAGGACATATGCTTCTTAACATTTGATTTTTGTGCGAATGCACGTCCGCATACTACACATTGATACGGCTTCTCGCCAGTGTGCGAACGTTCATGTTGCTGCCAGTAGAATTTCTTTGGAAATTGTTTATTGCAGTAGCTGCATTTAAACTGTAAGAATTTAGTTGTTATTTATTATGATTTTGTGATTATTAAATAGAAAGATCATTACTCACCCTTAATTCTTGGATTTGATTTGTGTCATTACTTTGTACAGTAGGCAGATTTTCAATGTGTGTAACATTGAGAGGTATCAAGGAAACTGAATTTCCTTGGCATTGAGGTGTTGAGGACATAAAATTATCCTCGGATATATCAGTTTGTAGAGGAGAATGACCATCTGCTTCTTCAACAACCTCATTTTCAGTGCTGATTATGGAATTTGTAAAGGTACTAACGTTTTGTGTGTTCAAAATAATTGGTACTCCAAATTCAGAGTCTGATGCTAAATAACTGGTGCCTTCTTGGTCCATACTAAAAGGCATATGAAATAGTTAAGATCTTTGTTAAGAAAACGCTTTTTAAAGAGAGATTGTAGCACACCTAAATAACATATCAGTCTCTTCAAGTATAATGGGCTCTCCAAGTGGAGCCTGAACGAAATTGTCTTGGGGATTGTAGTCTGTTCCATCTTGACAAGTATTGTCAGTGTGTACTGTCTGATCATTATTACCAACCAAGTACTGACTCAGATCTACTGTATGTTCTTGCACTTTAGAGTGCTCCCTTTTATGCAATATAAACATATGCAACGAAGTGAACTGGGATTTACATTTTCCACACTGAAATATATCTTCATCCTCTTGATCAATGGCTGAATAAAACACATTAATACCTTGTATTATTTTAATAAATTCATGCATTGTTACAGAATACATACCAGATTGCTCAACCTCTGATATAAGAGTCGGAGAATCTAATAATGCTTGTACTGATGGACTGTCGAGGGAAACACCTACGAGGAGCACATCAAACTTTAAATTCAGATTCACAAGAATAACAATTTACTATTAAATGTTTTCCCAAAGTAATATGCATTCACAGAATATTCGTTGGTTTAGACGATTATTTATACAATTAAATATTTACCCGTTAAAGCATCAAAGATAGATTGCGCCATTTTCTTTCTCTAATCACCACATTATTTTAGTGAACAATTAAAGAACAATCTCCTTTACGGCAAAAGCCCTAAAAAGAATTGGTTCTCTGTCGAGAAAACATTCCGTAAACGACTAAGTAATTCGTTGTCGGCAAGTTTGGAAAATTATTAATGTTCTCTTCGTCGCTACTCCACTGGCTAATTGAATGGTGGGGGAATAGCAAAACCCGTACAAGTCCGACAATAAGGGAAGTGTGCGAGAGAGAAAACGAGAGGTATGTATTCAATCTTCCCTCCCCATATCACTAGCCACTGGCGTAGGTAATCAAATGCAGTTGAAAGCTTTTCTACCTGTCGGAGTGTAGTTGGCCGCGGTATCTTGTTACACGACGATTTGACGAAAGCGATTGTACGCTCCATACTTTATAGAATGTATGTACTTTCATATAATTTATCTTTTAGCTACTTCATAAGCCGCTTATATCCTAAAGCGCAGTACCAGAGGTTAATATACAGTACGGTCCGTTCATTGGGAGGGACAAAGCGACGGTGCTGGACGATGCATAAAACTTCACCATGAGGGGCATACAGTCACGTCCATAGATGCATTTTCTATAGTTGTAATTTCTCCTCCACACCAATAAAACTACACTCAAAGTGCTTTCCTACTACCATATAAACTATTCAAATGATAATAATGGTTAGAAATCGAAGACTACACCAAAAGAAATATCGGTTTCGGTTACGGTTCCTGTCAGAAATATAGTATGCATTATAGAAATATGCTTTGTCGTGTGATTAAGTCGATGACAAGTTCATGAATACGGAAAGACATTCTATAATTGCCAATTTCTAGAAATTTTTCTTCCCTACACCCCCAAAATACTGTAATTATGAAACTTTCATTGTAATTATATAAATTATAATTTAGGAAAATTTTTGTATTTTTATTTAGTTACAATCATTTCCATGAGATGGCGTTACCTTGGTTCCAAAAAGCTTCGCTATGGGATACGAAAATTATTATAATTAGTTTTTCATTATTTCTTCGTTTTCCCATCAGATGGCTTGAGCAGAGATGAGTAGGGAGATTGCCAATGAGCCTGTTTTTGGTGATCTCAATTTTTCTCTGGTTTCGGCGCGCCACCTTAGCGGAGGGTCCTCGAAGCAGTTCCACATTTTTAATTGGTCGTGCATATATAGTAATACTACGCGTGATAATCTGGAGCTGTGTTTTGGCGCGTCGACGCGCCACCTGAACGAGACTCTCGAACTAGTTCCACGTTTTTGATTGGTCGAATGAATTCGTGTGTTCCTCGAGATCCACGATTTTAAACCGGGTGAACACTCAAATAAGGCGACTTGTATCCACCTTTCTTTTTTACAGGATATTACATAAACCGTAGTAATAAGGTAGTCAATACCC